TTAAATACAGTCAAACCAGATATCCTGCATAATACGTGCACACATCTATTGCGAACAGTTGCTTTTCACCGAGTGATTTKAATTTACTTGAACATTAACTTGCTTACGTAAATTTTTGAAAGTGTGAAGTTTACATCCAGGATTCATGGCAACTTGCATCATCGATTATTCTTAAACCTTAGTCATTAACATATTGTGAATAGAAACCTTCGTATCTCGAAGACCCGACATTCAAATGACGAAATATTTTTACAATCAACTACCCACTATCTAAAGAATCGATTCTGAAAATATTGTGCAAAGGCTTATAAGCACTTTAAAGGACTGTCCTTTTATTAAGATGCTTGATTCAGATTCCTAACACTTTTAAAACGCTTGTAAATTCTAAGAAAATTCTAACAAAAKCGCGCGCAAACAACCAGACTCTCAAAATGCGCTTGTCTGACATCGGACCGAATCGTCTGTAGAATTATTTTTAATAGCTAAGCCAGAGTCAACAAGTCAAATTAAACTGCTTGCTATTACCTCGTGTTATTACTGACACTTTTGCTGTACTGACATGTTGATAGACGGAACTCGAATTAAGATAGCTTTGACATGTGCAATCTTATGAATATTCGAATAATGATATTTGAAATACAACGCGCGCGCTGATTTGCTGGCTATTGTCTTTGTATCAGAGGACAGAGACRCGCTCGCGCAAAATCGTTCAAAATTATTTAATAAAAGCAATATAAATCGGCTTTCTCGTGTCTCTGTACTGTGATATAAACACTTTTGGAGCTGTAGAGCAATAGCTCTTAAAACAACACATACAGTATTGATCTTATGAGATGTTGAAATGTTCTGTGCCTGCGGGAAATTTGTCCTGCATTCACGACCTTGCAATGACTGTTTTATTAGTTTTACCAGAGGCAAAAATAAATATATTAGAGTAGTTTTAGATAGCCGTTCACGGCAAACGTGTAACGCAAGATGATCAGTGAAAAATTATTTTAAGTAACTGAAAAGGAATTGCAAAAAAATCCAAGTAGTATAAAAACAAAAGGATATTTGTTTGTCATAAGAAAGTTTGCAAAAGGTAAAGTAAAATACAGGAAAACGATGAAAACGTGGTCACGTTTGCCGTTTGCGGGGAGAAAAAAATTCAATCTAAAACTCTCTGTTTTGCCTGACGGAACAAATGTGATGGTAGATCTTTTCCAAGATGCGGAAAAGCGTTAAGAGAAAGTTAAAAAAAAAAAAACTCATATCTTTTTGATCTTTCGCTGATGGTTTTCACCTCGCCCAAAGTACAATTTGGATTTAGTATGCAACATGCAGCATGCAACATGCAGCATGCAACATGCAGCATGCAACATGCAGCATACAGCATGCAGCAAACCCTTTTCACCAACTTTTTTTTGAAACAGGTGTATATTTAGAAAATTGAGGTTCCCTTTCTACGGCCTGTACTCTTATCGAACATGGAATGGCRTCAGCATGTGATCCAAACTGTGCAGTGAAACCACTCACTGCGCTAACGCTAACACTAACCCATTTTACAATTGTATTCAGTGACCACGAATAATAGTTCCTAGCCGAGGCTGGAGTTACCGCGCATAGCAAAACTACAGTTTATCATGCGCGGTAACTCCAGCCTCGGCTAGGAACTATTATTCGTGGTCACTGAATRGAACTGTAAAATGGAGTATTATCTTTAGTGATAAAAAGAGCCTAGGTGGTGAAGTCACCATACTTGTCTCTCCTCTTATCGGTAAAAATCTCTTTACTGCAATATTTTTGAAAGTAAATATTTCTTCTAATAAAGATTATAGGCACCAAACTTTTTCTTGAATTGATTCACTTACAACTTTGAACTTTTATCTCAAGGACAATCAATCAAGACGACCCAAAGCATCTCATCCTCGCATTTCTGGGAAGCAGTATTCTGACAGGAACAGTGCTAACTGGACAAATCACCGTCAGGTAATTATGATAATGGTGATGATGATGATGGTGGTGATAGTGATGGTGGTGATGATTTTGAAGATGATGATGATGGTGATGATGATGATGATGGTGATGATGGTGATGTTGTTGAAGATGATGATGATGGTGATGTTGTTGAAGATGATGATGATGGTGATGATGATGAAGAAGATGATGATGGTGGTAATGTTGATAATGGTGGTGGATGTGGTGATGATGATAATAGTGATAATCATCTTCATGATGGTGATAGTGGTGAAGGTGATGATGGTGATGATGGTGGCGATGCTGATGATAATGGTATGATGATGATGATGATAGTGATGATCATGGTGATGATGGTGATGGTGATGGTGGTGATGATGAAGATACTTTTTTCTACTTTTGAAAAACTGATTCATAAAAAGGCAGATAAACTTTTCCCATCAGCATCATCTCCAGAGCATCTTGCAATTTCTTTTGCCGAATATTTCGTTAACAAGATCAARAAAATTGAGTTTGATGATAATACTTGTGACCTTGATGTTCATCCTGAAACATTGGATAGTTATCTTACATCTTTTAATGGCATTTCTCCTGAGAATATTTCTAAGCTTATTTCCCCCTTGGTGGCGAAATCTTGTGAGCTTGATCCTCTTCCTGGCAAAATCTTRAAGAAATGTATTGATTAATTGATTCCTTCCATTACCAAGATAATCAATCTTTCCTTGTTCACTGCATCAATGCTATCTCAGTTAAAGCAAGCTATAATCAAACCTCTTCTTAAAAAGCCAACTTTGTCTCCAGAAGAGTATTCCAGCTTCAGACCAATCTCAAATTTAAAATTTCTGTCTAAGGCTATTGAGAAAGTAGTTGCCTGCCAGCTAATTAGCTAATTGAACATCTTGAGAGAAACAACCTTCATGTGACACTTCAATCAGCATATAAAAAACATCACAGTGTCGAAACAGCTCTTTTGAAGGTGCACAATGACATCTTGTGTGCCATTGATAAGCAACAAGCAGTTTTTCTCGTTCTTCTTGACCTCTCATCTGCCTTTGACACTGTAAACCATGAAATCTTGTTAAATATACTTTTTATGAAGTTTGGGATTAGGGGATCAGCTCTTAAATGGTTTCAATCCTATCTAAGTGAGAGGCAATTTTATGTGAGTGTTCAAGGGGGCACATCACCTGTGAATAAGCGATGGCAATGGGAATKAGTATGTAAAAGGGAATGGAAAAATAGTAGAAATGGAGATGKCTATGGCTATGGAATGGGATAGGAATATGGAAATTATAGATTTGAAGAATATTGGATAAGTCATATTTTATCATTAGTGAAACTTGGTGGAGAGAGATAAGAAAAAATGATATCTTATCAAAGTAAAATATATTTTATATTATTTTTTCAGATCTCTCTTGGTTTGAAACCCTGTCAGAAGAGCGTTTGTTCATCTAAACCATCTCAACCTCAGGAACGACCAAGAAAAAGAAAAGATGCTCGTTCTACAATCGTACCAATGTTTCCGGAGGCCTTTTGCTTGGGACGTCGAGAATCAAATAGCCATGATAAATTGTTGGATGACATTTTAATGAATAGAAAAATAGGTTTGAAATTTGCAGGAGAAAGTCCTGGAAAACTTCGATGAAGGTTACGATTTTGTGTAGAAGGGCCACGCCCAGGGTTAAAATGATTATTAATGAATTAATGTTATACAGATGAAGATGTTCCCTTGATTTAATCAGTATTAAAAAAGGATCTTAACTGTTACAGAACAGGGCACATGACAGAGTACAGAACAGGGTACAAAACAGGGTACAGAACAGGGCACAGGACAGGGTACGGAACAAGGCACAGAGCAGGGCACAGAGCAGGGCACAGAACAGGGCACAGAACAGGGCACAG